GCCTTATGTAGAAAATTTTTTAAGTTGTCATTCGTTGTTCTCCACCTGAGACCATACATGAAGGAAGAAGAAAAGCGAGTGCACGCAGATGGAAATATCGCTCGGAGTCTAGCAGTGCCATGTTTGTTGTCACCGATTGATGTAAGCAATAAAGAGCCTCCAATTTTAGTTTTAAGCCACTTTTTACGGGTAAACCAACTCCCTTAGAGATGGGAAGTCATAATTCCGTTGTAATGATCATTTTTCTAATTATATTAAATCTTATTCTGTTTTTATTATGAAATCACTGCCTGACTTAATATGCAATTCCTACACGTTTTAGACAAACGAAGCGCCTGCTCAATCATGGATATCTATACATCATAACGAACTCGTGGCAATGAAATTATGGAACCAAATTCTGGATTGTAATACAGCGCGAGGGACAATTAAGGAACGGCCACTACTCAACGTCTAGGAGGACGGAAGGGGTGGTCGGAAAAATTGGTATAAAGTTAGCCTGATCAATACATAAGACTATGTAAACTTCTCTCAAGCATGTTTCCTCTTCATTGGTTTTCAATTTTCTACAGTATGCCCCTTTAAACTATGTTGCTAACGACTTTTCCCTCTTCGTTTCCCTGAAAACCATTTTATTCCCTCTGAAAAACTTTCTACACCCCCCCCTTCTACCGCGATGGTCACAGCTTTGAGAGGGATATTCTTCTCTAAAGAAATGAAAATTTTAATTTTTTTGTTGTGTCTATCACTGATTCTATTTTTTGACTTTGACACCCACAATAGGGACCTTGATAAGCAAACCACAACGGCTATGGCAACGAGAACGTTGCAAAACAAAACATGCAATGGGCAGAACAATAGCTCAGCACGTGCATTTAAAAAATTTGCACCTTTGCGCCTGCAAAACAACAAGGTGATTAAGCAGAATTCACTTAGTCAAAAACGGAAACGCCTTCGGCAAATTAAGCAAGTTTTCATTTGGAACTCAAAGTTGCTCTCATGACTTGTGGTTAAGTTGAGGTGTTGTGCCGTAGGAGACGGTAAACACATCAATCTACTTCTCCTCAGCTAACTTTACTCTCCCTTAGCTCAAACTCACCCTAATCATGATATCTCGAGCTTTACAAAGTAAAAACGTCGGTTGATGAAAGTCAAAGCGTCAAACATAGCTGACTAACACGTCATTATCTTAATTGCTATTAATGCGAACATGATAACACTGATTTGAGTGAAAACGTAATACATTTTGCTTAACTTTCCACATGAAACGTTCTTCTTAAAATACAAATGAATAAAGGCTGATAGTTTCGAAAGAAACTGTTTGGGGCTGCGTCGGTGGGAGTAACGAAATAATTTGGATATATCAACAAAGTTGAAGTGGTAAATTGGCCACCGTAACGATTACAAAAGCTGACGTTTCGAGCGTTAGCCCTTCGTCGGAGCGAATAGAGGAATTGTGGGTTGTGTGTGCTTTTAAAGGCAGAGAATGGAGCTACGTTATTGGTGGGAACATGGCAACGAGAAAAACAAGAATAAATTAGTGGAATGAAAAGCGTTCGTTGATCCCTGTGGGATTTAGACTGCCGGTTTGAAAGATGAGCTTTTGTTCAAGATTTTTACGGCTTTCCGTGCTACCTAAGTGCAAGGAAAGACCGCAGATTGCCATATGTTGCTTAGAATGATTAGGTAAATTAAAATGTCTAGCGACTGGTTTCGATGTGTCCTTGTCATTCCTTTCCACGTCTCGAAGGTGTTCTCGGAATCGGTCACCTAGTCTTCTGCCTGTTTCGCCGATGTATATCTTTTTGCAATAAGTGCAAGTTATGCAATAGATTACATTGGCGGAGGTGCACGTGAAGTGATCGGTGATCTTAATGGATCGTTTAGGTCCCGNGTTCATATCTCGTGTAATTCAATCGAGTCCTCTTTGATTAGGTATGTTTTTAGTAAAGATTTGAATTCGAACTGACTAATAGGTTCAGCGTTCATAATAGTTTAAGGAAGAATGTTCCAAAGCTTGGGCGCAGCGACAGAGAAAGCTCCGTCACCATACGTGGAAGTAAAAGACTTACAATAGGTACTCTCAAAAGCCTTTTTGAGGCTGAACGTAAAGCGTTGTTGGGAGTATAATTCTCTAGTAAAGTACTTGGATATGATGGCCCATGACCGTTGATAACTTTAAAAGCAGTGAGTAAGACTAGTACTTAAAACATTATTCGCTGGTTGATGGGCAATCAGTGCAATTGGTGATGAACTGGAGTGATATGTACCCTGCGCTTTGTTCTAGCTATTAGTGATGCCTTCATTGATAACTTTCTTAACATTGCAAAGAAGAGCTTTGATGATTGCAATTTCCCATCGCAATGGAAGACAGTACAAGTCCACTGTATCCACAAAAAAGGTAATACTCACGATTGTGGAAATTATCGTCCAATTTCACTTCTAAATATACCAAGTAAGTTTTTGGAAAGTATTGCCTGCTTTCAACTTGACTCTTTTCTGAACCAACATAAACTAGTTACTACCTCCCAATGGGGCTTCAGGAAGGGTAGGTCCTCTGAGTTGCTGCTTCTCAGCATGACAGAAAAATGGAGGCTTGCCTTAGATGAAGGAAAATCAGTTGGTGTAATCTTTATCGACTTTCAAAAGGCATTTGACTGTGTGTCTCATCAAATTTTTACCTGATAAACTTCAAGCCTCTGGTCTATGTGGAGACTCACTTGACTGGATTGTTAATTACTTGAATAACCGCCACCAGTTTGTG